AAATCAGAGTGACACTTGGGGAAGCTTGTTGCAGCTTTTGTTGTCATTACACTCAAAGAGGTTAGGACAAACAAAAATGCAGACGCGTGTAAATAGTGGATGAGGGAGAGGGACGAGGTGAGGAAAACAGGGACGATGGAGTTGCTCGATCTCGGTATGACAGATAAGAAAGAGGTAAAAGACTGACCGCTTGATCTAGATGGTATCGCGCCAAATCGATGTTTTTCGTGTGCGTAAGCAGGATGTTGCCGAGCTGAAGATGAGTGCGTGCCTCGACGCGCTGCGGCGGCTTGAAATGAAAAACCGCTTGCAAACACTGGATGCACGACTTGATGTTAGGCGGGTTCGACGTACGGAAATTCTCGGCCAGGCCAAGCAACGACAGATACCAAGCGTCCTGAGAAGACGCCATTTTAACATTTCACAACACAAACGAAGCCAGACGTATTCTATTACGGCCTGCAGTGACCTACCACCAGTGGGCATTGCAGACAGTGGTCAAGTCGATGCTAAAGGCCAGATGATACGTATTGAATGAGACTACAGAACGAAAGAAAATATAAGAAATAAATTAAAGATGTCATTATTTTATCGACATTTTTTGGGAATTTAAAAAATTTATACTATTATATCGACATCGATCAAATTCGGTCGTTTTCAGCTAACGCTCTAAATATATATATATTCCTGAAATATTTATAAAAAATTCCTAAAATCCCAGAAAAACATTCCTAGAGTATTCCAGAATATTCCGAAATATTTGTGGAATGTAAAAGCAACATTCAAATATCGATGAAAAATATCGATTTAAATATTTGTTTATACATATTCCGAAACTGACCGAAACTGTTCCATATATGTTCTACAAAATTTTAATTTTTCCAGAAATTTCAGGTCTAGGCGTCCCTGAGCTTTTAATTAAAATTTTGCTTTGAACACACTTCACACTTTCTCCTGAGAGCCCAATTTTAAGGTTCCTGCACATAAAACGCGGCAACGCTTGCTCAGTGTCGGGAATTAGTGCAGGAGCCAATCAGTTTATTGCTTTTTTATAAAAGTGAAAGAATGATTGGCTATTGTCGCGCTAACTTCCGCCACGCGACAAGTATTAACGCGTTCCGTCGTACGCGGCAAGTACTCAGAGAGCACAAAGTCGTCTAAAAGATAACTAAAAGACGACTAAATTGTTATAAAGATATCTTTCAGGGTATGGGTCAACGCGATGTTGCAAACGCTTTACTTTAAAGCGTTTTTTAATTGGTCAGTTTGTAAAATTCTTTCTTCTAATTGATCCATCGAGCGTTTCAAAGCATTTGTAGCGAGATTTTGACCATAGCCATATAGTGAAAGAATTAATATAGCTGTCGACGAAAAGATGACTAAAAGACGATTCACTATTTTGTTAGCTTCACTTCGATTATGGAGGGGCTGAATCTTTGTATAGGGTTTATTAAATTTTCTTTATATATATTTTTTTATGTGATGCAATTTTTCTATATACGTTGCGTATATAATAGTATTTTGTAATAGTATTTTATAATAGTATCTTGTAATAGTATTTTGTAATAGCATTACAAAATTTAGAAATATATGTTTAATTACTACGTATATGTGTTATTTGTTCTAAAATATTTCCTTTTAGCCTGCGTGCAAAATTAGTTTAAAAATAAAATTTATTTATTTTTAAAAATACTTTATAATAAGTATTTACATAATTAAAAAAACTTTTTAAACTAAATCAAATTATCAAGTTTAACTTATGATATTGATATATTCATTAACTCTCTGTAAGTTTTAATATTTAATGATTATAATTAAGGTACTTTAAAAATCAAAACGTTATTTATATCATGTAATCTAGGATTGTATACAAATGTCAAAAAATAAAGAAATAATATAAATTCGCAATTGCGTTATTAATAATACAGTATACATAGTATGTATTTTGTATAATATAGTATATTATTCTATTTAGTACGTATTAGAATATAATATTCATTATTATAATGACGCATTGCAAATTTATTTATGTAATTATTTTTGCAATGTTTAGTATTTGTACATATGTCCCAAATTGTTTGTATAAATGAAAAATATCAATTATTACACCATTAAAAAGTATTGTTAAACATATTATATTGTAATATTGCTGCAATATTGCACCGCAATATTTCTAAAAGCGGACATTTTACTATTGCAGCAATCAAAGCAATGTTGCTGCAACATTGCTGCAATCTGTCTGTGCTGTATGGATTATGTTCCATGCAGCGGATCGCCAATCATAGAATTGTTTTCTTAAGTTGCATACAGACTTATATATATATATATATATATATCAGAAAGCCGTCGCGAAAGCTGTCGTGTCAATGCTACCTTTGTTGTAATCGCCGCCGCACCGCGCCGAACTTTCACGAACATCATCGCGAACGTCGCCGCGTACGGTGTTCCACTGTTCTATTTTTATTAATTTGCGAAATTTTTCCAAGTCCGAGATCGCATTTATAATCATTTGTATAACACCATCTCTAACCGAATAAAAAGTACACTATATAAATAAATTATACCACAATATACTGCGATGCTTCGTTTGATAGTGAAAAATTCGAGGGGGTAACTACTAGCTGAAATATTGTCCCACAGATTACATGATTTCACATGATTTCATCTGATTATAAATAATTGTTTTCACAGCATATGAAGTCATTTGGTAAAATATACGATTTTATTTATTATTATACAATAATTTCTCATGATTGCATATGTAATTATCGGATTATACAGAGATTTCATATGAATTTTATAATGATTTCGAGGACTCTGTCCCAAGATTAAAATTGACTCCTTGTGGCTCTGGCAAAAGAGCTCGATATTCGCGGCGACGTTCGAGACAATCGAGACAATGTCCTCACTGGCGCCGCTGCACCGACTTGTTCATGGCGACGTTCTTGATAATAAATCTGGGAGGGTCCCGTTAGCGCACAGTGCGATAACACACATCCACTCAAATTGGCCGGTGCCTAGTAATTTTTCACTACTTTACCAATGAGAATATTTTATTTTAAATTGGCCAATTAATGATGTGTGCTATCGGATCCCGCCCAATAAGTCTGTACGCGGCTAAACAAAGGTAGCATTTTGCTGGATTCACCCTGGATCCGACGTGCGTACGACGTTCTGTAACCAATCAGAAAGCAGAATTTTATTTTGTATCGATGATATGAAGCAAAATCCTATTTTCTGATTGGTTGCAGAGTCGTATGATGACACACGTCGGAATTCCAGGGTGAATCTATAGCAATTGAGATCATTTCTTTGATGTGGCGGCGAAAAACCGACTCTCAACCGATCAGCCCGATATATGTTATGCGGTAATGTTCGTAACAGCGTTCGAGACACTATTCATATTGTACTTCTATCTTTATCGCGACGACGTTTGCGAACGGTTCGCGACGGCGTTCTGCTGCAAGTCTGTCTGAGGCTTAAATAGACCTTCTACAATAAGCCATTAGTCATAAATCAGAAATCAGAAGTTAAAACATGACGACTGTGATTGATTTTTAGCTTCTAACTTCTGATTTATGACTAATGGCTTATTGTAAAAGGCCCATTAGAGATCTCTGCAAATTTTGCAAGCAGATCTAAGTGCAGAATATCAGTGATCGATCGGATTCTTCAAGCGAACTGTTGCGCTCCTTATATTCTCTCCCAAATAATTCTTGTTAACGAGTAAATGCTCTCCATTGCGGCCCTCTGCTGACGGAAATATGTTACTGCTCGCTCACGAGTAATTTTCATGATATATATTACTTGGACCCGGTTGTACCAACGTTGACTTTAAGCAAGACTTAAAACTTTCTCTGTCTCGTTTTAAAGAGAAAGAGAGACAGAAACAGAGAGAGTTTTAAGCTTTGCTTAAAGTCAAAGTAACGTTGGTGCAATCAAATCTTAGCGACGCAAAGATTCTCCCCAGCATGCCTTAAGCGACTGTAAGTAAATCTCAGATTAGAGGGGAACATTATGTCTTCACTCCTTGAATTGTGATAACAGTTTTCCACATCTCGAGAATATTATTGGAAGTTTATTGTAACACTTTGTGTGCAATAATTAAAGACGAATCGTAGATGATCTCATTAATCGTAATATTAGACACATTCTACTGGAGCATAAGACGAAACAAAATTTGGACCATTTACACTGTTTTATTTAATTTTTCTGAGAAAATTTATTTATTTTAAACAAGCGTTTTTTGACGTGATCAATTTTATACGATATAACGTGTTTTAAATTCAAAATTGTTTGTCGAATATATGCATATGCGTAGGAAAATTATGTTAATACTGAAGATGGTCTAATGGAAGACCGAAACGTTTATTCAAGTGTAATCAATTGAAAGATTAATGTAATTCGATTGAAGTATAAAATAATAGCGACATCTTGCGTTGTGGTTTTATGCCTTTCAAATAATTCTCTGTTTTTAATTTTAACCACGTATTGACTCTTAGTTGTTAATTTCTATAATCAAGCTAATTGAAATTCAAAGTCATCCTTAAGATAATATTAGAAGTTTGAATCCTCTCTTTCTTTGTTCATCTCTGCCTTATGTGCAAAGGACGAATAGTTGTATCTAGCTAGCTTTCATGCAAATATATCTATTATTCATTATTAAGCAATATTCAAATCGAATCTTCGGCAAAAGGTTAATATATGACGTGGTTGAGAATCAGTCGCCAAGCCTCTTGGTTTATAAAACTCATTTTATACATTTTTCTCTCGATAAAGACATGTTCAAAGCTTCATGTAATCATCAGTAAATGATGTGTACAGGAAATCACACAATTTATTATTTTATAATGAATTAAGAAAATAATTATATACGGGATTAAGCGTATTTTTGCAATCCGCCTACAATAACGCGATCGGATAAAGCGTTCTTATTTTCATAGACTGAACAAATTGCACGTACAGCAATGCTTTTCCACGTCGATGTAGGATATCCCCACCAGGTATTCAACAAGCACCGAGTTTCCGCCAGCTGATCACCAGTCGCCTGTTTCGAATCGCGCGGGATCGAACGCGCGAGAGCTCGTTGATCTCTATCTCTTTCTTTCTTTTTTTTTTCCATTTCGCGCGATGTCCCACGGCCGATGCGTGCTTGCATTCCTCTTCGGTTTGTTGGCGTTGCTTCCGCCACGCGAAACTCACTGTGCCACCAACGTCACCGACATCGCGGAGCAGGTCCAGGCGGAGAACGCACTGGCGAAACTGGTGAAGATGTTCTCCAAACCGGGCGCGTTCAAGCGGGTAAGCCGGGGGATGTCGAACGGTGTCCCAATTCCTAAAGTTATTCCAAAACTATTATTATTTTATTTTAAATTAATATTATTAAATTTTTTAATTATTAACAATAAGAATTTTACTGGTCCGTACATTTGAAAATTTAACAAAGAAGTAATGGCCGTAACGATAGAATATAAATAAGCCGTTTATTTTGAAAGTGGCCTAATCCATTTTTCAATGTTTTGTTGTTGACCTTTGTAGGAGCGTGTACAACTTGAAGTTAGCTGTCATAAACAACTTTTTTTTTAATGGACTTAGGTCACTTTCAAAATAAACGGCTCAAATATGGTATATATGCAAGTACATATAGTGGCGTGCAAAAGTTTCCAGCCAGTAACATTTTGTACTTTAATTTATTAAAAAAAAACCTGATAAAATTTTAATCGTTATCAATTATATCCTAATCTTTCAACGAAACCTTTAGCTTTAAAATCTTGAGCATTAAGAATCTTGTAATAAAATCGTCGTGAGCCAAAATGCATATTTAGTTTTGGCAAAGTTCGATTCAGCTGGAATTTTATAAGATAGAATCACGAGTGTATTTGTGTCACGCGAGAATCGAAAATGGAAAAATCGGTACCTTGATGAAAAGGCCGTCCGGTTTTTGCGGGTTCCTCCTGCAACTCGAATTTATAATTCCGAACAAATCGTCTCGCTCGTGATGCAACGTGCCGCATGAGAAATAAACGCGCGCGGCATACGAGGAGAAATAATCACCGGTGTATCCTATTACGTCGCTTGTAATAATAAACGTTCGACTTATCCTTCTTTATATTCGTTTCCACCAATATAGATTAACTTAAATCTCGGTTCAACTTATGCTTCCTCTTTTTCTAATTCTAATACCTGTTTCTACTAATGTATAGTTCAATTTTAATCTTGGTTCAACTAATTCTTGATCTTTTTCTAGTTTTAAGAATTAGAAAAAGATGAAGAATAAGTTCAACTGACAATGAGATTGAAGTTATGGGCTTTCCACAATAAGCCATTATCTATAAGCTTTAAATCTTAAGCCATAAGAAATTGACCAATCATAGTCGATATTCTTCTCACATTCGACTGTGTCGAAATTGGTCAATTTCTTACGTTTTAAGACTTAAAGCTTGGACCTTACTGTAGAAAGCCCATTAATCTATATTGATAGAAACGGGCTTTAGAATTTAAAAAATTCCGAGATTAAAGTTAATCTTTATTGATGGAAGTAGGTACTAGATTGCGGTTTGATTCATCCTCACACAATACTCGTAAACATATTATTTGTCCTTATTTAATTATTTTGGTAAATAACGAAGGTAAAATAATTTTTACAACGTTAATCACGAGCATGACCACTCGGACCAGCTTTGAGTGCATGAAGTGTTTTTCGGTAAACGGCACAAATTCGAGATTAAAAAAAATTTTTCGATTTTAACTCGTTTTTTAATCTCAATTTTTTAATTTTAATCATTAATTAATCGTAGATTTTTTTACAAGAATGAGTTAAAACGATTTTCAAGCTGCGAGCGATCAAAAACGGACTTTCTAGAAGCAGAACTTTCTATATGAACGATTGCGAACGCAACGCGATAAAGATTTTGTTTTTAAATCCGACAGTGCGTTAATTGATGACTAACATTTGCCGAAATGAGAATTTCATAACAGCGACGAACGTTCGCGATGGAATTTTACGCTCAGGTAGCGATATAATGACGAAATATTTTTAGATCGACGCGATACTTGGTGAGAATACTATCGAGGCATCGTTCACAAGCTGTCCCATGGGCGAAGAGGGCCTGGAGTGTCGAAGGGCGGAGGCTCGACGATCGGTTGACTGTCCTCGAGGTAAATCCTCATAATCGTCGCGGCAACGTAATGCGAGCGTACATCTGACCGCAATTGCAAACCGCACACGATACCGTTCCTCGCTATTACGAAAAGAAGAAAAAAAAAACATCGCTATTTGCTGTTTAACAATAGAGATTCTGACCTTGACAATAGCCGCTCCCAGATGACTATGTTCGCCGACGCAGCGTTAATGTCGCGCACGCCTCGCCTCGCAATCCTCACATCCCGGTAGCTGCGCAAAAATAACTGGGATATTATCATAAAATATTAGAGCGTTATCTAATTTCGAATGTTGGCTTAATTAAGCAGACTAGAGTGAAGCGACGGAATTAAAATTCATGCGTTTCAAGATTTCAATTTATCTTCAGATCTTAACTTAATTACCCAGACAGAAATGATTAATCGAATCGACGTTGATTCGATAATCATTTCTGGCTGGGTTAGTCATTTCTGATAACTAGAACGATAATCACAGAAAGAAGAGCGTAGCTGTATTTTAGGTCTACATCGCGCATCGCACCTTTCTCTGTGTAATGAGTTCAAATGAGAACAATTTAGTTCATGGCAGTTGTGCTCACGAGATTTCAAGCAACGTCGGAAGATGATATCAAGACGTTTGTTTGAGATGCTTGAGATTTTAACGAATATTCAAACGTCAGATCCTCATGGAACATACACATTAGAATTTGCTGTCGTTTTGTCATCAGTGCTTGAGAAAGTCTAATTGCTATAACTAGGTGACAGTGACACACGTTACATGCAAGCACTTTCAAGTTAATTATACATATGTTCGTACATTAGAGTGCACGCGAAATATGGCAGCGATTCTCAAGGCTCGAATACTGCATGGGCGAAAACATTTGCGATCAAAATATATTTCCGAATATACCAAGAAAACTATGCTAGTTTCAGTTATTGAACGAAATTTAATATCTCTCTCTTGTGTAATTTTCCTCTTTTACTCGTTTTTTAACCAAACATAAAAATGTGGTAAACATATAAAATTCACAAGGTATAAACTTGTTGACTTATATTCGATATTATACACACATCGGTAATTATTAATTATTTATTAAAGATTACGTAAGTTACACTGAATGTAATCGAATTTTGCTTGACGTCGGGTAATGCGGTTCTTAAAATAATGCAAACAAATGCGTCATCTTTTTCGAATAATTCCAGACGAAAAATGAAATTTTATTCTTAATTCATAATAATTACGCGATTGAGAAACATCTCGCAAATGTCATTGCCGAGAATGTGTTCTGATTATTTACAACCAGTCTTCGAGTAAAAAATATATGCGTGCGATATCTTACACGGGAAAATGTTCAACTCGTAAATTTTTTTCATCTCATTCTACATTCTTCGCAATAATCCCGACTGTTTCGTGTGATTATATATACTTCGCCTTTATGTCACAGGTTTGCAAATACGACATATGTAAGACGATACGAAATATATAACGGATAAGAGAAAGTAATACAGTAAGAGTATTGAAAGATAAATCATTTGTATATCGGTTTTTAACTTCACAATTAAACGCAAAACAGGTTTTAAATTTAAATGTTTCAAAAAATATAAAAAAATGTTAATATATATATAACATATGAACTGTTCTAAATAAAATTAAATATAAATTAATTTCTATACTTCGAGTAAATATAAGTTAATTCGCTTCAAATATCATTAATATAAGTCTTTATTAATTAAAAATTCCTTATATAAATAGGGGATTTTTTAAATATTCTTGATAAAAAAGACAATCCGGAACACATTGCTTTGAAATCTAATTTTATTATGGAGAACGCTGGTAACGCAAAAACATAATCAAATATAGTTATTTGTACGTTCATCTTCGATGAAATGCGGAAACTGCTTATCGCGAGTTTGAATAGTTGAAGATAAAAGATATCGGCGTAAGTGAAATCGAGGAAGTGCGGTTTGCAGGAAATTTTAAGAGGAAATCGTTAAATCATAAATATTAAATGGCATCTCGAATTGCAGGTGACTGTTTCTGTTACGATTGCGCCGCTGCCGGACCCGACTTGTGGGCCTCCTGTTGCCGTGAAAGCTTGAGGTGCTGCTCTCATCTCGCAGCGGCTTGCAGGACATGCGATCATCCGACATTGTATCCCTTCTGCGTCAAACACTTCAAGAAATGCGTGATCCAGTATGACGAGAAACAGGATTAGAGAGATCTCTTCGGTGTTTCAACTGTGATAGTTGACTTACAATGAGGATTACTGTGTGACAGAAATATTTGACTTGACCTCTTTGTTATCAAATTGTTTGCATAAACGCTCTGACTGAATGATCAGAGATATTTACTTGATCGTATTACAAGTTGCATAACCGAAATTTTACGCTGTGCCTCTAAATATGGTATAACATTTATCCTCGAAGCCGATAAACTGATCCATCGACCTGATTGCTTCTGGGCCCAACTTTGTTCGAACAAGGATTTTTAGTTCCGCAACTGATTGTAGGTACCTGAATCCTGGTATCGTTTAAATGACGAATCTACAATCAGATATTTATATTATTTGTGGAATGATATTACATAATATACAATTATATTATTTAAATCGACACAAAAATTATTTTGGTTTTTCCAATTTACATACGTAAGTTAAAATTTGTTATAATAAAAAATAAATTTGTAAAATATAGTTAATACACATTATAGAGAACATCTTTACGATTTATACTTACCAGGTAACACATATTTAATTTTTTACCTTAATCTTGGCTATTAATTATATTAAGACATTTTTTTACTTATCCACCAATTTATTTATACGTAAAATTTTTGGCTCGTAGTCCTTTTTCTTTTAACTTGTTTTTTAAATTATTGAGCCATTATAAGATTATATAATATTAATTATATATTCTATAGATCTTTGGAGCACCTTTTGAAAAAAATCTAATTTTTATAAAATTGAAAAAAATTTTGGGTTTTTTCAATCGGTTTATGGATTTGCAGGTCGAAATTTTGGTATATAAATCAATAAATTCATATGTTCATAAATTTGCGAATACATAGGTTCATATACCACCAGCATTTTATTGTTTTATCCTTGGCAAGACATCGAATAATTAGGAAATTACTATAACAGAACACACATAATCTTGGATTCGCCGATATAAACATAGAATAATTATAAATACGAACGAAAATCTCGCAGATGCGTTAAATCCAAAAAAAAAAAAAAGAAACGAAAATATTACAAAAGATAAATAAATATCACCTTTTAATACAATCATTGGTAAGCTTTATTCATATAGTTTCCAGAGTATTCGGTAATCTTTATTTATCTACTAATTCTATAAATTGTGGGGACAACGCTTTTCATTCGGACAGATGTTCCAAGATCGGTATACGAATTTCGCAATTTTTTCCTTGACAAATAAAAAATGTGCGCACGTCACAGTCTTCAACGGCTCAATATTCATAGTCATGAAATATTTGCGTCCCCGAGCGGACCTGTATTTTCTTTTTTTTCCCTTTTGCGATTGCCTTAGAATTCTAGCTCTAAATATTCGCCATCCCTCGTTTCTGTCGTGTAGCGAAAAGAGAGTTCCTTTTTTTTAGGATATAAAATTCTCTCGCACTTTGAAAGGTGTTTAATTGCTAACAGCACCACACAGAGATTAAAGAGAGACAAGACTAGAAAAGAAAAATAGAAGGAAACGTATTCTTTTTGTTTGTGAGAAACGAGACGCGCTCTGATTACTGAATGCGATTAATCTATTTGCGAATAATGATGATGATAATGATAATAATGATAATGACAGTAATGATAATGATAATGATAATTTTCTTTTTACCGAATCGGCGTAAATTCCAAGAGTCATACATCAGGCACATATTCGTGCCAATTTTATAAAGAAATGTAAGATAATATTCTCTATTATTATTTGTTTACATCGGAAAATAAATTTAAATTTAAATTCCTATATTGATTCTTTCATTTGTTAGGTAAAATATCGTAAGCGATTGCGGAATCAATAAGTTTATTTCCAAGTAGTTTTAAATAAACTCTATTAAGTTTATCAAAATTTTTCCTTCATCGCTTTCAATTTCTTAAATTATGTAAATCAATCAATAACTTATTAATTAACTAGACAATTTAATTAATAAACACTAAAAGACACACATATATATATAATGAATTTTTATGATAAATTATAACTTTAATTTCAACTACTATTTATTTAAAGAGCAATTTTTTAACATAAACAACTTGGAAATAACCTTTAATTATCGAAATTATATAAAATATTGCTATTTTCTCGGGGAAGTACGTTCAAGCTTTTAAGAATCTCTCCTCCTTCACGTTGTCATTCTATTTCGCTCTCGGATCTCATCTTAGAATAACGACGACAACGACGACGACGGTAGTGCCCCGATGACGGTAATTAGTTGACGACATATTATTACGTTTTTTTCTTACACAAAAAACACAGATCTTGATCTATTATGCGATCGTAGACTTATTATGGTGTACATGTATATCAAGTACGAGTTCAAAATCTATCACGTAGTACAAAGAGAGATGATTATGCGCTATTTTAGTTTATTAAGTTGTATCATATACCGAGAAATATCAAGACTATAGTACTATATATTTAATTGATTCGGAAATGTATGAGACCAAGATCGGTTAGCCCAGAATTAATTAAATCAGACTATTAGTGGAGGAGGAACGGGGTGGAGGAAGGACTGGTAATATTGGGGACAAGTGCCGGATACTTTTTAACTCGTTCAAGTGCAGACTCTCGTAGAGGATGTCGTAAAAATCCGGCGGTCGCCGTGTTGTAACAATTCGCAAAAATCTCGATTACGTATCTCCTCTAGTAAGTTTCTTTAAATACTTTTACATTGAATGTGACATGAAAATTAATCGCGCTGCGTTAACTCGAATCCCGATTACCATTGAAGATTCGTTTGAGTCTCGTTTTTAACGTACAAGAACAGTCCCAGTTAAGTCGTGTATACATCGCCCGAGTATTCTGCGAGCCCGACTTAACGTACGACTTAACGTCGCACAAGAAAATCATATCTGTGCGCGAATAACACACGTGTCGCTCTTCATTAGAAACTCGCTGATGCATACTTCGTATATCGAGAGAGAAAAAGATTGCTATACATCTCACATGTGCTGGCTTAACATCACACTCATACGCGCTTTCTTACAAAGGTCATTTTTTTCTTTTTTCTCGTATGTAGCTACTGCTCTATCTTGCGTTAAACTTGCCTTAAAAATACAGTTCGGAGAAAATGAGATATACACATAGTACAGGTACTGCCGATGATTGCAAAACTTGGCAAATCAACGGCAAAAATCGTATTAACTATCTAAGGGCCTAAAAAGATCCTTTCCATCAACATTCGTTACCTCGTCTTACATTCGTGCCTTTCCTCTCGCGATTATCCCTATTATTGTTAATAATCCGATTTTGCAGTCATTTTACACTTATTATTGATTTATTTAGTGCCTTGTGTAAATGTCTATTTGGTTCTTTATATTATATTGTATAACAGAGTTGTCTAATTTGTGACTTTATCATGCAAGCGAGCGAGCATTTTTATTTTGCTTTTTATTATGCTAAATATTTCTCATAAACAAAGAGAAGAAATATATTATCTTGCACAAATAGGTTCGGTAATATATAACTTTGCTAATAAAATTCATATCATCATTTTGTATATAACAAAAAGAGATAGGATATATGTGTGATACAAAGAAACAAATAGTAGTATAAAAGCAAAATGATCGTTCACTTGCGCTTAGTTAGACAACTCGGTGTTCACAATTCAAGCAATTGCATTCAATGTTATAATATGCTTGTCGATACACTTAAATTAATTATTATGTTTATATATCAGTTGTTCAATAGACAACGTTAACAAAATGATAACGCATATGTGTACGAGGAAAGATTAGAAAAAAGGAAATGAACATTTCCAATTCGGGAGAGTTTAGTTGGTCTCCACTAAACAATGAATTACTTACAACGCGATTCTGTATCCCAACTCATACGTACGTTGAGTGTGTATTTCAGTGACGGAAATAAAACCTTTACCCCTTAGATAACGATAAAGTCATAAACGTACACGTCAATTGACATATTCACAACGATTATTCTTTATACAATACTAACGAATGTCATTTTTCCGATGTACTTCAAGTTGAGCTTCACCTTAACTGAGACACTTATGTTGGCATAGTGTAATTCAGGCGTACAGAATTACGACTGCACACTTTACTAGATTCTCCCTAGCTTTTCTCCATTTCTTTCGTTACACACGTTTTCACTGTTTATTCGTATTTACTGTTACATCATCCTTTAAATGCGTCCGGTTACGTTTTCCAGTTATGTGGATGGGCTCTTGGTGGTGCTTGATTGCTTTGCGCTTGAGACGTCTGCGACGGAATCATGTCGAGCAGATATTGACGTTGAAGATCCGCTGCTTGTCGTTGTAACTCTACGAGGCCTTTGCCGCCGGCAGCCATTGCTAATTGGTAGGGATACAGTATCGAGGTAAAATGCGGCATCATGTGAGCAGGAAGAGGTTGATGCGGTGGTATACCCGGTACTGGATTCTTAGCCAATTCTGGAACAATAATGACAGAAAATGATAAATTAGTTGTATTAGTTTTCGCTCAAGATTTTTTCGAGAATATTTTTGCTCACCTCTGAGCAATTGTTGCTGCAAGGCTGCCGCAGCAGCTGCATGATGTGGACTGAACTTTCCGCTCTCGGCCAGTTTCACCAAGGGATGCTCTTGCAGTTTCGGCGCGGGAGGCGTTGGCGTCAACGTAGGTGCTGGCGGATAGGAACTGGTTTCGGAGCTGGAGGATCTGGACTCGGACACGCAGCTTGTGCTAACCTTTGCTCTATCTCCTGCTCTTGTTGTAGCGCTTTTACGAAAGCAGTTTTTAATCTGTAATCCCATATAAAATCCATTATATCATACGAAAATAACATTATTCCATTTTTTATTTTGCAGAAATATACTAAATTTTCAATTATTCGTTTATTTAAACAAATATAGGTATATTTATGTAATAAATATATACACACACACACACACATATATGTTAGATCTTCTATATACGCAATAATTTATATAATATCAATTAATTAAAAAATTAACAACAGATTTTACTATTATTCCTATATTATTAATATTTTAACCTTCTGAGAACCATTATGTTTTTTATCGACTTTTTTTATTTTAAGAGCTAATACTTTTTTGTCATTGTCATGGGATTGAGTGGCGAAAAAGGTGATGCCACTGTCGAGTCTCTAAAAGGGCCTCCGGTCCTCCAAAGGTTAATATAAATATAAAAACCTACCGATTAGTGTGCTCTGCTTTCAACGCTTTCTTCACATTAGTTGTCACACAATGCTCACATATGACTCTAGGATCGCGACCTGCTGATGGACGTTGGAAAGTCGCATGCTGCCCCCTAGGACTGTCCTTTTTACCACCAGGCATAGGTTTTTCCCATTTCCATACGGGCGTGAAATCTGTTTTGCATTGTGAGCATTCGAATGGCTCAGGAGGTGGCGGTATTGCCGGTTCTTTCGTTATAAAATCGACCACGTGTTCCAAACCAACCAGATATATGAATTCCGTATTGGAGGGATTCGGCACAAAGTGCATCTCTGGCGGTGGCGGTTTTGGCGGTGGTATTTGTAATAATGTTTTTTCGAGCTGCTTCCTTAGAGCCATTTTGGCAGCTGCTTGACGTTGAGCAGGTGTCTCGTCTCGTGATGTTCTCTCCTACATTATTGAAAATATAAAATAAATATAATTTGATGTATAATAAATTATACTTTATACAGTTAATTTTCTAACACAAAAGACAAACGTCTTAAATAAATAAGAAAAATATAAACATATAAAATAAAAGTTAAAGTAATTTAGCTAACTCATTTTGATCTGTATCTTTGATGTTATGTGTTGTACATTATATATATGTATATATATCAAAATATAAATTCAATAGCTGCATGCAAATTAATTAATTTAAAATATTAATTAATTAATTAATTTTACTTTAATATACTCTCTTTATGCAATAGTTTCTTCTTCATATATAGTAATACAATTTACATTTAAAAAATAGACATGTTAGTGTGTGAAAGTTTAGCAATACTGCATGTTACAACTTACATTACGCATTAATGAAGACTTGAAAAAATACTTTCCTATATATATAGGTTCATTAACAAAATAAAGAATTGTTAGAAACAAGAAGCACAGAAAATGAAGCTTAATTAAAAAATCATAATCAATGTAGAGAAAAAAAAACAGATTAATAGCCTTTAGAGAATATAGATAGAAAAGACATTATATATTGATCGACGAATGAATATACCTGTTCCGAATTCACAGGTGTGCTTAAGGATGCGGTGGTTTTATTTTCTTGCGATCCAGCAAGCAGCTTTGTGTTTAGAAAAACACAATAAATTGATTACATACGTTGTTCACAATTAAAGAATTATTTAACACTTTCACGGCCGGGTCAGCGTTCGCGTTAACGATCGCTTGAATTGTATTGTATCGTGCGATCACGAGTAATGTATTAGCAGTGAAAGTGTTAGTTCTTAAAATTATTCAGTAAAGGAACTTTCAGCGGTCTTACTGACTTATTCTTAAAGTTCAAGTAAAATTACAACTTGAACACACTATATATGTAAAGCTTATAGCAAAAATAGTAAAATGTGATGTTATACCTTACTTACTTGATGCGCTGGAGCCGGTGTTGGATCCTTTGTAGACCTCTCCGTTCTATCCGTTGGCGCATGATAACTTGAGACACTCGCCGCCGCTACACTGGGTGGTCTTCCTCTAGGATGAGGTGGTTGTGGTATCACCATGTTAGGAGGCATCCCGCCTGTACTTGGAATAGCATTTCGACCAGCGTTAGGAGGCAGTACCATCCCAGGTGGTGGAGCATGTAAACTACTACTTCTGCTCGGTGCAGGCTGACCCTTAAGTAAAGGCGGAGGTGCTTTCCCAGCTCTGTGATAAAGAAAAAAACTTATTTCGACTTGACGTAACAATGGTAAAGTTATATTTTGAAAAAAAAAAAAAAGATAATATTACAAAGGATCTTACCTATGAGGCACCTGCTGCGCCGTTACTGGCGGTGGTAATTTGTTGAGCACTTTAGGTGCTGTCGCAATGTTCTCTTTCAGTTGTTGAGACTGACGCAATTTCTTCAAAAGCACTAGTTTCATTTCCTCGGATTTAAGCTCTTCTCTATATTTTCTTAGCAGTCTTTCGCGTTCAGCCAACTCATCGGATGACAGTTCCTTGATTGGCACCAACGGAGGCATGTCACCTGTTTAAACATTCAGCATAAATAAAATCCAATGTAATACTAAGATAAAAATTCATAAATGATTCTCTATTTTTTAACAATAAATAAAGAAAAGAATAATAACCTTCATCGCTGTCTGAAGCATTTCCATTTAGATATCCATTCATCCTAGGCTCATCAGGACTCTCGGCGTAACTTCTTTCGATTCTAGGTCTAAGATTACGACGTGGCTTACGTTCGTCCCCATGTGACCGTTTAGGAGCCAAGATACCACGGGCTGCGTTCTGTATATTACGTGCCTCTGGCATACTGTTCTCCAAATTGGAGCCGGAGGAATAGTGAACCCCCAAGTCCAACGGGATATCACCAGAATTCACAGAAAGAGACGGGGAATTACGCCTACCACCGCTGCTGAAAGAACGGCATTACAGGAATTAGGGAATCTGTCGCACAAATATTTGTTATCATGCAGAATAAATAAAACTTAAAAGTTTTACTGTTTTAAATATATTCAAGAATATGTCAAGCTAAAAGGTAACAACAACCTACTTCTTCGTCACACGATGATAAGAACCTAATACTGATAAGAAATTCCTGCCTGGATAAAAGGCAGGCATTATCATAAATTACCATAGTATATATAATTGTTCCCCATTTTAACATTTAAAATTGTAAAATTTAAAGCGACATCGCTATAAGAAACAGGCATAAGTTGTCGTTACTCCTCTTTTATTTCCTATTTCATTAGAAGAGATACAATAACGAGAGAACTGTTCTCCACGAAACAGACGGTACTTCACCTGATGCTCAGATCCACCACCGAATCTCCGTCCACATCCATGGCCTCCATTCTTTCGACCGTGGTCACTCTGTAATCACAAATACACGCATGTAAAGTCGATCAACACGGAGACATTTTATTCCCGAGAGAAGGAGGGAGGAAGGGGGGAGGGGGGGGGTGAAGAAAGAGGAGAGGAAGAATATCGTGTTACGCCGTTTGAAAACGCGCGCTGCGGAGGAGGCAGCCACGACACTGTTTAATCTCGCGCGTGCAGCAAAGGGAGCCGCGCGTGGAACAAACCGGACTACGCTACGCGGGGACACGCACGCTGCTGCACGCATGCACACGCACAGGCGCGCTGCTGCTACTCGCTCTACTCGCGTTGGTCATACAACTGGGTTACCGAATCTCTCCTGCGCGCATTCTCGGTACGCCCCGCTGTCCCCGCAGCACACGACGCGCCCCGATGGGATCCCCGAAAATCCTCCGGCGCGATTACGCCGCGTGACGCGAGGAGTATCGCGGACACGCCACACGCGCGGACGGCGAGCGGTCAGAGGCACGTCGACGTCAACGACGGCCAGATATCCCGTACGACGACGCGCGAAACCGAGAAACATCCGTGACCGGGAGACGACGCCACCAGCGTGAAGGCACGAAGAGAGGGAAGCGGGGGGAGGGGAGACACAGTGAGAAAGAGACGGGGAGGGGGGGGGGGGGGGGGGGG